CGAGATTGTATGTCAATAAATTGCATGTTGCCATTTCTGCTCAGAATACAATTTTCTAATGATCATGACAAAACGTGCATTGTATTTTTCATCTAAAGAGGTTATGAACTTGACAGAACAAACATCTCTCCTCAGGGGCGGCAGGAAAATCATCAGATCATGTTAAAGAGTTTGCTTCTTTTGCCATAGGCCATCAATTCTAAAAATTTGATTAAGAAAACATTACATCAGTGCTGCATTCTCAAGCCGCCTCTTATTAACATTTTATTGTAGCATACTCTAATGACAAGCAGTATCAGCTCTCATTATTCTAAATAAGGAGTATAGTCATTTTCTTCTTAATGACTGAAGTGAAATGTGTCCATGGGGACACATTAGTTTACTCGCTCTAACAACGTAATATTATCATTATTAATACTTCTTGAAGAGAATTTGCAGACTAATATTATCTTTGTAGAGTCTCCACATTTTAATTTTTAAATATGTGTATTCTCAGTCAAATGCAGAACGTCAGGCTCTTTTGAAGATAAATGACGTTAGCCATTTATACAAAATGCATTTATTTCCTTGAAGTGTTTCAATGCTACCATACAACACCCGTAACACTCTGCAACAAAAGACCTCAAGAAAAAGCAGCAATTTAGTATCACCTATCTGTGAAGTAGGTACCTGCCACAGGATCCCAGCAAGACAGAGGTTATCCAATGTATTCCATTGCATTTCAAATATACAAGCAGGGCTACAGCAAAAGTTAATCACCAAGAAGTATGAGGAGAGGCAGGTTCTTAACTCGAGGTTTGTGCAGCACTGCAGACAACACATCCAGACAGCCCAAAGTACAATTCAGACGCCTTTGCCATACCTCAATATAAGCAAATAGGCAAGTACAAATATAGCTCCTATTTTCCTGTGTGTTCAAAGCAAAGGTTTTTTTAAAAAAACAAAAAGAGCCACCTGTGCTGCGCAGGGATGTTAAGCAAGGAAGGGTGTACAGCATACTCAAAGCAAGCCAGGCCAGTGGCCGAAAGGTCAACCCCATCCGAGCTCTTCCCCAGGGCTGCCTCCAAGCCACGCAGGACACCTGTGCCCTCATCGCTGGATTATCAAATCAATTCTGTAGCTGTCCTTCCTTTTCCAAAGATAGCCTAAGGATGCATGGAGATGCTGGGGGGGTCACAATAAAGTGTTTAAATGAGGTTGGCACTAAATCCTATTGATTCCCAATCTAGGCAGGTACCTACTCAATACCTGTATGTCTAAAATAAATCCTCCCAGGTACCTATTTCCAGCAAGGCTATCTGACCAGCGCCAAAAATCTCTGAAGTATAAATTCTCACGAAATCAATGGGCCTTTGGCAAACATCAGCTAGCAGCATACACTGACAAATTTTAAGACTTATGAGCCTCTATCAGGATTATTATTTTGGTGCTTTGTTCCCAGTCCCTCACCGGTATTTCCCAAAGCTGAGGCCGGTTATCTGCCCATAGCAGGTTACCAGTGCAAACGTTTACTGCTCATGAGGAATACGTAAACAAATAAGCAACTACCAGCACACAGATCCCAAGGCAGCCCGATGGCTGGTCCTGGGCCCCAAGATGCGCTCCTCGCTCCCAGGCCAGGCCTCAAGAAGCTTTCACTGCCTCCTCTCACAATTCCATGGGCATTTTGCACCAAATTCTGGCCTTTGGAGAGTCGTGATTCCCTTTGCTAGTACACAAACCAAACAAGTCCTTTGTATTCTTTGGACAAGTAAGCTTAATTTTTGAGAAAACGCTGGAGAACCTGGGGTTGAAAAGCTGAGATGCTCCCTTGTGCCATGTTAGCTCATGCCCATGAGGAACACACCCTAGTATACTAATTATCATTTCAGTTACCAAGTTCATTAACATTTTAAAACTTTCTTAGAGGTAATTATTGCTGTTATATGACTAGTTAAATTTGGAAGTCAATAAATGTTTTTTATAAAGCTCAACAACACGAGGTACGTCTATTCATACCAAAAAGGAAATGTAACTGTAGTCGTGACCAAAATAAATGAAGAAGGTTGAGCTGGAAAGTAAAATCAAAAGGGAAAGGGTCAAACTGCAAAAGCTGCTACAGGAAGCAGTATATTATATTGTCTGATGCCAGATTATATGTATTTTATTATCAAGTATTAGAGCTTTTAAGCATCTAAATCCTAACTGATCTAGGAATCTCTAGCTGAAAGCAAGCTTCTTTAAAGCCCTGAGCCTACAAGATTAATTTTGACGCCTGTCAAATAAACAAGTGTATATTCTCATCAATCAGCATATTGCAGCACTGTAAAACACAAACAGAAATTCCCTTTGGGTTTAAAAAAAGAGTCCATAATTTCAGGATAGAAATTCATTGCAATTAACACAAATATAACACTTTACAACACCAAAAATCCTAAACTCAAGTTTGTCCCAAATCAATGAGACTTGCCCTAATTCATATGGAAATAGTATTTTGGGCATTGTGTCTTTGCAGAGTAGAGCACCAATGTAAATAGCTTTGTGTTTTATGTCAATTTTAAAAGTATGTTCACCAACTACAGAGCTGCATATATGGAAAATCAGTAGGTACAGCACAAATTATGGTTAGATTCTAAGTTTTTTTTTTTTTTTAAAAAAACTCCTTTTACTTTACTATGTCTGAAATGAGATTCTAATTTGGCTTCAATAAAAACTAATTGAAAGTAATTTAATACCAATTGATTGTTAAGGGGATACATTTTGCAGTTGTCAAGTCTATAGAAATGCTATATAATTAACTCAAAACTACATAGGCAATAACGTAATTATAGTCTTAACAACTTGAAAATTCCAAGTAATGTTTAAACAGTTAATTAAAATTTTAAAAAATGGTGCTATATTACACATCTATAATGTTAATTGCTAAAAAATGCTAATCAATATTTGTTGAGTAATCCAATTAATTTAATAATCTAATTTCTAGTATATCTGAAGCTAAATATAGCTTCATAAGGCTGCCTTGCAAGCTAATAGCCAGATATTCATTACAGATAAATTAATGATCAATTACACATTAAATGATGGCACATTGTTTATTAGTTATGGACATGGGGCTAACTGGAAAGCAACCCAATTAATAGTTTATTGTTCTATCATTTTCAACGTATTGTACCAATACAAATCCTAGTTCATTGCTCAAACATCCTATTTCTGAGTATGTCAAGCAAAGGTGATCTTTTTATTTGCTTTAGTACCTAGGACATGCATGTCCAAAGCTCAGAGCACCTCTCACGACCTTTTAAAACACTTCTGAAATTTCTGTTTCTCTGCTTTGTGCTGCAAAATCTTCACTATGGAAAAGATATCACTCTTGGTCCTTTTTTTTTCTTTTTTTTTTTTTTTTTTGATTGGTATAAAGGTATGTTTGAGATGATACTTTACGAATGTAAAAAAGCTTTATCCTAAACGACATGTCAACTTGTATTAGCTAGCAAGCTCAGGTAGCTTTGACTGACAGCTATATTTACATACTTCCAATGATCCGTGATTAAATTACTGAACTCTTACTTGTTTTCTCCTTATCACTAAATTCTGACTTTGTACCACACTGAATGCATCTAAAATAACCTCTTTATATGTTACCCCATCAGGCATTGACTCATTAAACCTAGGCCAGCTCCAGATTGAAAACTCTGCAGGACAGGGACCATCTCATCAGACACGTTGCCGTTCTCAGCACACTGTCAATACTTTCAGAGAACTCTGCTTTCTAAATGGCATTGCACAACTCAGAGTTTTAATGATTTCACCAAGCAGCACATCAGTGCAAGGCTGAGGCAGGGAGCTATTTTCCAGGATCAATTCTTAAATGAATATGCTGTGGAGTAGAAATAAAGAGCAGCATGGATAAAGAAAGTAACACCGTAAGGAGCGTGATTCTGATTCAGAATTTTGGTTTTACAGTCTGGCCATGTTCATGCACACACCACTTCGGAGGTCCGAGATTCAAGGACAGTTGTTGATGCCAGCACGGCATCTCCCAGTGAACTGGAGCCCATACAGGTAGATGAGGCCGAAGGTTCAAGGTAGAGCAAGGCTTGCCACACTGGCAAGGAACAGCTCAGCATTAGGGCAGTGTGAGGCCCACAAATTCTCTTTAGCTATCTGTTCAGAGACTACCTTACTCTTAAATATTTCAGTGGAATATTCAGTGGCAGTGTCAAAGGCATTACATACTTTCCATACTGGCTTTCATTCCAAATTACTTTACTTTTTTAGAAGAGTGTAACAAAAAATGTGTTTGTTGTTTGTTAATAAATTGATTGCTCTAACATACGGTTGTATTTTGGAAAAAAAAAAACCCACAAGTCTATCTCTAGGGGCCAACATGTTCCCTTCCTCAGCTTTTACCTCTCTCTTTCCCAACCCACCTCCCAAGAAATAAAGAGCACACTAAGCTGCAGCATTTAATACCATCCAAAGTAGGAGGCATTTCAAAGTGCGTTGTCCGCACTGTATCAGAACAATGGCTCTTTTTGACAGGCTATTTTAAAACTGTGTGACAGTTTTAACTGTAAGCAACACTGAAGGACAGGAACTTGATTCCATCATTTCATGGTTGTCAGCTCCACAGACAAGAAGGTCTATTTCAGGACAACACAGTTTTCAGCAGCTGTTTTCATGAATAAGAACACACTTCCATCTTTAGCCACTTAACCTATATAATGTGACAACAACACTTATTACAGAATCACAGAATCATTATGGTTGAAAAAGACTTTCAAGACCACCAAGTGCAACCGCAAGCCTTTCCACACCCCGCCTGCTCAACCATGTCCCTAACTGCCTCATCTACACGTCTTGAACACTGCCAGGGACAGCGACACCACCGCTTCCTTGGGCGGCCTGTTCCAGTGCTTGACTGCTCTTTCCATGCTGAAATTCTTCTTAATGTCTAACCTGAACCTCTCCTGGTGCAGCTTGAGGCTGTTTCATTTTGTTCTATCTGCAGTTATTCTGAGATCCACCACCACCTCACTACAGCCTCTTTTCAGGTAGTTGTAGGGAGCTTAGAGAAGCTTAGAGATTTGCGATAGTACCTTTTACATAATTTGCATTTTTTGAATGCTTCAAGGAGATAATATGTTAGACTATTAGTAATAGTTGTTCTACCCCAATTTATGAAATAAAGAAATGCTGAGATATGGTACCTTTTGGAGTCTGCAGAATCTTCCAACATGGTCACTTATCATACTTCGAATCTTATGGTTTGGCTGTGACTCACGGGTTTGTCTTCTTTAGAAAAATAAACTGAAAAACGCACCTTTTTCAGCATTAAATTGAAAAATAACAACCAACATCCCTGAAAATTTAACTGGTTTAATCTATGACACAGGTCCACTCTGCAGCAGGCAGCTGTCCGTGACGCAGCAGTGCCAGCCTCGTGGCTGGCTCACATGTGCAGGAGAGCGCTTACAATTCCTCCTCCTCTTGTGCATTTGTGCAGAACAGCAACGATTCAACTCACAGCACATGGAAACCAGACTGCTGGGCTGAAGTCTCAATTACACGACACCAAGGCACCCATGAACACGCCGTTTGGATTGAGCTGCAGATCGCTGCCGCCAAAGGAAGTTTTGATTAACGAAATCTTTAGCAAGAACTGAATCCCACAGCACTACAGCAGTCATTAAAGTTTACAGACTTGTCAGTATTTACCTTGTTTTGCCGTGTTCATCACGAGCCTATGACAGCCTGATAAATACAGGCCAAGCTCTTGCAGATTCTGAGGTTTGACCATCATCCAATAAAGTAATAGTGAAAGTATTTTTTTAATCTGCTGAGATTGCTGGCGTTTTTCAGACTCCTAGCCAAAGAAAGAGCAAGAGAGTGGTTCAGCATTTCACAGACAGATCTTGAGCAGATTCTCAAAAACAGTGTCACCTTTTAACATGCACAGCTCCTTTGTTCATAACGCCTGCACGCTGGAAACCTACACCCGTGTCCCCCCGTTGGCCAATTAGCTACCTAATCAAAATGATTAATAAAGAAATCAGATCATTTTGAACAAACCTAATAAATTCACATAGAGGAAAATGATTGAGTCCACTCTAAATGCCTAATAATCTTTGTTTATACTTTCAAAAGGGTAAATACATTTAAAGTAATAAGGATTATAGGCCCAGTAGCCCATCAGAAGCTAGATTTCAAATGTGCCTGCAAGAATCTGTACCAAGGCAGCTTCTTCCTCAACAGCAGCTGTGTAATGAAAATATTTAATGCAATATTAAAGCAGCCAATTACCTTCTAAACACTCTTGAAACCAGCTCTAGAGGCAATCTGCCTGAAAACAGACAAGTTTACTTCACTTCAGCAAACACACAAGGTGCGGGTGCAGGAATCCTCAGTGGCCCTCAGGAGCACAGTCACAATCACTGCACCAATTGCAGCTCTAAAATCCTGTTGAGATTGCTGATATTCAGATTACACATCACATCCTACCGCAATGTCAAAGTTGTGATCCAGTGTGATTTTCTGCCCTGCCCAGATCACAAAGCACTGACTCATAATAATCTTGTTCTTAAGTCTCAGAACTACTCCAAAAGGTATGCAAAAAACCCCTATACTTTGCCCATGAACTGTGGAGACCTGCTTTTATTGAAAATTGGAGACTCTTTATATAATGTGTGGCGTAAAAAAAAAACTGAACCAATTTCTAGCTTTCTGATTTCTTTAATGGCCTTATATTGTACAATAATTCCTCTCCAAAGTGCTTCATAAAATATGAGATTTCAAGTAAGAGAGCTTCATGAAATATTATATGCTGTTCAATAACAAAGACCACAAGTTTATATAACAGTGTATGTACCAATGTCCTTAACAATTTGGATTTCACACTTTGTCACTCCAAGCAACGTAGCTAAAGCCCATGACTGAGAACACCTCAGCTGCAATGCCGCAGGAACGTGTCACATACAGAACATGGCACTGCTGTTCAAGAGCATGCCTGCCAGGGTAAGAAAGTCGCACGCAGAAGCTATGAAAATTTAACACTCAGTATTTCACCTGCTTTGGAGCCACATCAGCCATTGCTACAGCACAAAGATTTGAGTTAACAGTGACCAAACACATTCCAAAAGCTCCAAACAGTGTGCCACCCTGGGCTTCCAACACAGGAACATGTTGGCAACTCTCTCTCTTTCAGAGCTTCAGCTCTTGAGCAGTCAGTCTACTCGAGCAGGTGCTTACTGCTACTCCTCACTTACTATCAAGGTTTTTTGATTGTTACTATCCTGGTCTGGATTCAAACGAGCAACTCACAGAAGTGTTCAGCATCTCACGAGCAGTGTTTCCCAGTCTTATTCATTTCAACAAATATATTTGTTGCACTGTATTCATACTCGGCTTGATAGCATCTAGCATTGAAAAATCTGACTGAAGATGAAATGAAAAGGCCAGGTACTGTCATACAGATTTATTTAGTGGAGAAAAGAAGGGAAAAGTGGAGATGCAGTTTTAACTTCTTCAACTATGAAAGAGAAACCAATACTTATCATGTGTCTCCTTGTCCTACTATCCACAAACAGAAGCTGGTTATTTTTAAGAAATACACATTGAATAGGTGACTTTTTTTCTGAATTCACTTTTAATAATACCATCTAACAGCAGCATTTGACCTGGAAGCCATTGGGGCTTCTTGCTAAAAGTTTTACCTGAAAAATAGACTAATATTCTATGTAAAAATTTCAAAGTTTCATTGAAGACTAAAAAAAAGTAAAGGACTGAGAGGATGATTATAAGATATAAATCAGATGAATCTTCCCCATCAGACACACACAAACACACTCTGTGAAGATTTCTCACCTATAACAAAATTTTACTATTGTTCTCCCTCAGAATATACTGTGGATAGATGCAAATAAGCAGTGAGATATAATAATGAGGAATGTATGAAAAATATGCTAGATTAGTAGTAATATGTAATTGATGCCAGTGAATGGGTACATGTTCATTAGGATAATAATTTCAGTTCTCTTTTTATTTTATGAGTTCATTTTTTTAAATCTTAGCAACATATTCAGATGCGCAACTGTAAAAAACTTTGTATGCGACAAAACCTTAATCAATATAGCATTTAAAGCAAAGGCATGGTAGCACTGCAAACACAGGAGCAATGTGCTGACGAACTCAGGTTTGGAAATCACTTTTGCAGCACAGCTCTGCACCAGTTCAAGCCTATTTCTAATAGGAGTGGGTAAGCAAGGAAAGAGAGAATTGCAATCATCAATCCCAGAAAAGAAAAAGACTTGAATCAGAACTTCAGTATCAGCAGGAGACAGAAAAAGCTGCAACCTAGAAGCTATGTTTCTGGGATGGTAATGAGGGACCTGAGAGACTTCAGATATGTGAGGCTTGAAAGTCAAGTCAAAAATAAGCTGAAACTTGCTATTAGCTGCATAGCTGCAAACTGCTGGCCATCCAAATCTGTGTTTGTGGGGTATGGGACTGAAACTAAATTATAACCACCTCTGAACTGTGCTGCAAGTAATTAGCCTTTTTACTCTGGGTGCAATGCAAGCACCAAGACCATACTGGGGAATTCACAAAAGCTTTAAAACAGTTATACTAGCACTACTATGCATACAGCCCGGTTAATGCTATATATTTGATTAGAAATAGTGGATTGGAGATGCAATTGCTATCTTCAGGAAATTAAAAGTAGTTATGAACAGGTAAAGACAAGATGAACAGAACCTTGAAACCCACAACTATGTGCCCAAGAATCCCAGGTCCCTTCTGGCCTAAGTGAAAACTCGGCAGTTTCAGGAGCCTCACTTTCAGCATGAAAGTGCTTCATGTGTGTTCAGTTCCTAGCTCCCTTGCCCAGAGCACCAGCGAGGCTGCCCAGCCATGAAAACACTGATGAAGTTTCCTACATGGTGACCTAGCACTACCTAGTTCAGTCGCTGCCCTCACACCCTCTGTGACATGAGTTATTCATTCTAGCTCTGTCCCGTTCAGAAATGTTTAAACATTATAGAGGAAAGCAACCCAAAAATAATTTTAAATTTGTTCCCTGAAGTCCAGCTGATAAAATGCTTGTACTTTTAAATGTAGCAGCACGTGCTGAGGGAAGCAAGGGCTGGGTTCTTGCCCGCGGAGAGCCGTGCCCGGCCCCAGCACAGGGCCAGCCTGGCAGTGTGCACAGCTTGAACTCTGGACCAGGCCCCAAGAAAAGCATAATTCAGGTTTATGGAGAAGGCATTTTATATCCAATATAACTGATTACCCACTGTAACGCAAACAGAACCCAATTTGTACTAATGAAACCTATGCAAAATACAGCAAAGCATTTACTAGTATGGAGACCACAAAATGCCAAGCCAGATGTCATTTATGGCGATAAGAGTTTTCGCAGATGGCTATGTTTTCTTTTGCTTTTTGTTGCCTTCAGGTTTGATAAGATGGCATTTAAGTCACGAGATAGCTTTGATATTCAGCATCTATTAGTTTGGTGCTGTTGCAGTTGGTACTATACCATACACTATCCTATTACAGTTATTGTTATCGTATGGAAATGCTTGTCTGCTCTGGCAAATTTTGATAAATGTTACATCAGATTAAAAAGAATACAACCACACAGGGAGATGCTAATCAAGACTGAAGTTGGCTCCTCTCGCTGGGTGTTTCACAGAGGAAAAAGACGACTCAAATTCTTAAAATTTTAGAAGTTCAGCTGTGAAACTGATGTGGAAATGAAACGTCACAAGTACATTGTACTAATGAAAATGTGTCTTGGTGAGGGAAAAAATAAATTTAAATTGTTCCAGTCACTCGACTGATGCACTTTTTACATACCAAATCAGTTATAAAATTACCAAATCGTCTATTCTTTCATACAAAACAGTAATTAGTATGAGGGCTAACCATGAATTACCATGAATTTAATCTGAGCACTCCTTTGCATCTTTTTTTGTTAAAGTTACAAAGCCTTTTTCTAAATGTCAGGAGGTACTGTAATAGGACAGAATAATTCCAACTGTAAAATGAAAAGCTGAAATTCAGAGTTATTTGCCAGAATGCAAATTTAGATTCAAGTCAGTAAGAGCCTGTAGCACAGATCAGCATGGTTATTTTGGTGGATTCATTACAAAACACATTCAACTCACAAAATCAATTATTTTTACAGAAGACAGTCTGCACATTCTTTTCTGTATATGCAATCACTCCTAGTGAAAATTATACAGAGGAGGTTGCAAATAGATCTTCTCCCGATTTTGCAGGCTTTGCCAAATCATAAAACTAAAATGTAAAAGGAAAAACAGAGGACTGGGAAGCAGATGAGGCCTTGCTGTTAATGAAGAAGAGACAAGTATTTAAATTGAGAAGGCATCTTGATGCATTCTATGCAAGCTGAATAGGATAACATAATAGGAAAATAAAACAGCTATCAGACAAGATAAATAGAAATACATCAACAGGGACTGTACAGAATTAGAATAGCACGGCAAGAGAAGCAACATCTTTAGAAGAATATACTAAAATTTTACTTTGCATTATAATGACATCTTAGAAACAGATGGCAAAATGCCACCAGAATAGAAAGATGTCACAAAATAATAGCGTCAGCAGCTATATAAAGAGCTAAAAGATGCTCCAGACTACCTTCTATTTGCAAGGCCACGCTCTACAAAGTATTAAAATAATTTTATCCATGCCAGCAAAATAAGCAGGATTACTGCAAATACTTACTCAGCCCCCCAGTCCTTTCATCCCCCCCTCCCCCCCAAAAAAACAGTTGGGGTTCAGAATCAACCCAGTTTCAGAAATACATTTTTGACGTATCCTGAGACAATATTGTCATAA